AACCTTCGGGTCCAGACCCCTTTCACAAGGGTCACCTAAGACCCACACGTATTTACATTATGATTCATAACAGTAGCAAGGTTACAGTTAGGAAGTAGCAGTGAAAATACTTTTATGGTTGGGGGCCACCACAGCAGGAGGAACTGTACTAAAGGGTCATAGCATTTGAAGGCTGGAACCACTACTCTAGAGGCACAAGGTTGGGAAAACTAAAGTTTCCTTTAGAATCCAATAAGTAGATCAGGTATGGTAGTCCCTGCGGAGGAAGAGGCAGGCAGGCAGGCAGGCAGGCTTCTCTAAATTCCAGGCCAGTCAGGGTTACAGAGTGAGATTCTGTCTCAAAAATAAACGAACAAAAATACCCAGTAAATATATGAAACTCTGACACAGAGGGTCCCCACTTTCTCAAGGATTGTTCCCTGTCTTGAAAAACCAAACCAAAAAAAAAAAAAAAAGGACTATTGCAGTGCCCTGAGCTTAAGCAAGCCCCCCGCCTCCTGTCCAGATTCTCCCTCTCCCCTCATTGGCTTGGGGACCTCCAGAGTCCAGTGTCCTTTGCAAGGCCAGCAGAGACATTTACACATACAACAGTGACATAGGGTGGTGGTGGGGGAGAGAACCTGTGTTGGAAAAGGACCAGTCTGTGGAGGGAGGGGGCAGCAGCCAGACAGTCCAGCTAAGGGAGACCCTGTCTGCCACTCCATGCGCCCTCTAGGATCACCCACAGTGACCATGCCTTGAGGCAGAACACCCACAGATACTCTTGAAAGTTCCAAGGAAAAGCAAAGACAAACCTCCAGCACCCATGTGGGTAACAGACAAGCAGCCACAGCCTGTCAGGGGTGCCACAACCTAGGAAGCTTTTCTACAGAGACAGACCTTTCCCTGTGAGCTCACTGGAAGCTGCCTGTCTTTGTTTCTTTGTTACTGTGATGAGCTACCATGACTAAGGCAACTTACAGAAGACAGTGTGCTGCTTGACATGGTAGTACACACCTTTAGTCAGCACTGGGTAGGCAGAGGCATGAGGATCTCTGAGGGTTCTAGGCCAACTTAGTCTACATAGTGAACCCCAGGCCAGCCAAGGCAATACAGTGAGACGCTGTCTCCCAAATAAAAGAGGATTTTGTTGAGGCTTTCGGTTTCGGAGGGCTAGAATTCATGACCATGACGGCAGGCATCATGGCAGTAGGCAACCAGGATGCCAGAGCAGCATCTGAGAGCTTCTATCTTCATCCACAGGCATGAGGAAGAGCAAGCTAGCTGGGGAGGTCTGGGATTTTAAAACCTCAAAGCCCACCCCCAGTGACACACCTCCTCCAAGGCCACACCTCCGAATCTTGCCCAAACAGTTCCACCAGCTTTGGAACAAGCATTCAAACACATGAACCTCTGGGGGTATTCTCACGCAGCCCACCCCACAGACTTCACCCCACGGACTTCACACGAGTGTCAGGCAGGCCCTGCCTCAAGGCAGACTAGGACTCACTTTTTTCCCTCTATACCAGAAAACTCCCAGACTACCTGAGGCTTTGCATACACTCTATAACAGCTCAAGAAAAACAGTTAAGAAAGCTGAGCAAGTCTCCCCTTCCCACACAGCCTACCCCCAGGTGCCCACACTTGACTATACGCAGTTCAAGGGCCCAAGAACAGGCTGCAGGGTGAGGACTATAGCCAGTG